GTGTGTCTGTTCTTCTGCAGTGCCCGGGGGGGGGGGGGGCAAACACCCAACCTCTGACTCTGCAGCCAGATACCTAAACTATTGAGCTACCCAGTCAGCTGCTTTTATTACAAGGTGACAGTTATTGGTGTTCCATTACTGCGACCTAAATCCAGCTGCTGTTCTCAAATACAGTAACTGATTAAATTAAACTAAAAGGATTGACATAACTGTTGATTTTCCATTCAGCAGTTTATTCAATGGGTCTACTGCAACGGGGACTAGCAATGGGATTTAGCAATGGGATTTAGATTGATTTTGTACATTTATGGAAATGTACAAAAAACTGTCCAAAAATGCACCCTATTTTAATAATCTTGCTATCTCAATCAAGAAGGACATCTGTTTTAGTTGAGCTGTTTATTACGCAAGGAAAAACCAAGTCATGGTTTACATTTTATGGAAGAAATACTACACTAAATACAGCATTGTGTAACTCATGGGAAGCTTAAACTGAAAGTAGACCTAACTATGATCACTCAAAGATGTTGTCTTCTATGCTGGCACTGGAAGCAAGATCTGGGACTGAACTGAAGTGAAACTATAATTGCAAATCAATGCATGCCCTCCTCAAATACACACAGACACTTTATTTATGGTTGCTTCCTATGTGCCAGAACTGTCTCCTCACACAGAAAGCAGACTGTCTAGAGTTGGGCTTATGAAAGCATGTTGAATGACGTTTCTTTTCTGTGTGTATGTAGGGGAGGCCAATAGCGGTGAAGCTGAGCCCAAAGACCCTCCCCTTGGCTTCTCCCAACCTGATATTGCTCATTCATCAGAAAACCCACTGCAAACTCTCTTTGCTTTCATTCACAGGCATTCCTTTCCCCATCATCATTGCCTGGGCTGTTGGAAAACTCTATTATGACAATGAAAAGTAAGTCAGTCCCACTCCACTCCACCTGGAAAAATTCCTTTTCTTTTTTTTTGGATCAGAATTCCCAGAACTCTCCTGACAGCCACACTGGGTGGGGTCTTCTGGGAATTGTGTCCTAAAAAGGAAGAGTTCCAAGATCTCATCCCAGCCATTTTGCCTCCTCTGCAGAGCAGGCTTGTGCTGCCATATAGTGGAAACAATAGAGGGACTCATGGAGTGGAAGGAGGGAGGGATTGAATAAGCTTGAAAAGAATTACAGCAGGACTATCAACCAGTACCTGCAGTTTCACTTTTCTGCTATCTGAAAATATTAAATTACAAAAAACCCAGAAATGTGTCTTTTTAATATGGATTACCAGCACTGACCACTAGAGGGAACCAGAGACCAAGATATCTATCTATCTATCTATCTATCTATCTATCTATCTATCTATCTATCTATCTATCTATCTATCTATCTATCTATCTATCTATCTATCTATCTATCTATCTATCTATCAAATTCACTATATCCACACTGTCTGGCATTTGCCATAGATACCACAGTCCTACTATATATATATATGTTTGCTCTAATGGGGCAAATGGAAGTTTTGGGTGCGATTTAGATCAGGAAAATGGTCAAGGGGAAAGGTTAACCTAGGAGTGAGGGAAGGGTTTATTCTGAAAGTGGAGAAAATATGGTCCGCCAGGTGTTGTTGACTATAACTAGCTAGCAGCCATTGATGAGGGATGACAGCTGTTGTAGTTCAACAGCATCTAGAGGGCCACAGATGCCCTCACTTCAGGTTAATGTTTCTTGATTCAGCACTTGGCCCAAATTTGATTCACTCTTCTCCATCTGTGGTTGCTTTTATCAGAAACGGAAAGAGATAAAAGATTCATCCCTGAGACTTCAGTCTATTGAGTTCGGCCTTTCAGAAGGAAATTGGGCAGGACTCCCGGAGCTGCAAGGTCGAGCTTTCACCGTGCTTCCAGATGTTTTGTGGCCCTTTGCATCCACTAAAGGGAAGCAGTTTTTGAAAATTCAGAAACTCCTGACAAATCTGCACACTTTATTCATGCAGTAAAATTCAGTGAGTTGGTGGAAAAACATTACTGCTGTCCCGGTTTTTTAAATACACAGCTTTAGTCATTGTTAATGAACCACTGTAATGGGAAGCATAGATAAATGAGGCCGGGATTTAATGCAAGGGGGTCTAAGGTGTTTCCTCTGGCCCCTTGAGCCTGCTTTCCCAGGGACTTGTTAATGGAGGACTTAGCAGCCCCCTGACAAGTCAGTTTCATATTCATTAATCACCCAGGCAAATAAGATTGATTTCTGCCAACCTCCATTTACTTTGTCAACTCCGGCTTCTCACATTCATGTTAAGTCCTTGCAGCTGAGGTTATGGCTGAAACCAGAACACAATCTTGTTTGTGACCCTGTGAGCTGCTTAAAAACCTGCTCTGCATTTGGTTTAGAATATCCTTTTCCCTCTATTTCACAGCAGCTACAATCTTGATGCAGGTTCATCTGAATAATGTCAGGGATCAGATGCTTGGTGTCAAAATAGAATTATATTTTTACTACTACTACTATCACAATTCCTATCGCTATACTACAACTGCTGCTGCTGCTACTAGTACTACTTTTACAATATTTCTTATTTCTTAATATTGGTACATGGGGTGGACACAGAACCAAGCCTAAAAATTAGGAGTCAAGTCCTAAAAATTTATGGTTAAATGAAATGTATGCACTGATTTCTGAATTCCAGAAAGCAGCTATTGGCAACTGTTTTAAACAAATAGCCAAAAGTATTTCTTTATTAATTGTTGTTATCTTTCTTAATAAAACACCAGGCATCAGAGAGATAAAATATATGAAAACAGAAGACAATAAAAGCATTGTATATAAACCACATCTGTCCCCAGAACATAATCAGTTTTCTAAGGCCAATGTTCTTTTACACAAAGATATGTTAACATTTCTTGCATCTTTTATTTAAAAACAAAAAAAGGTGGGTAACCATCAGGACTCTGATGCTTGAGAGATGGTTTTATTCCATTTCCATTCCTACCATTCATTTCCAATCATAATCTCCCTCCTCTTCATTTTATGCAAAGAGTATCACTGAGGAGGTACGGGTAATTTTTCATGGAGGCTGTAATGCAGGGGGAGTGGCGTTTCCCTGGCTGCACCTGCTGCTGCTTTTCTTTAAAAACAACAAAAGGTGAAGCCAGTTCATTTCGAACTTATGAAATGTTGAATATACATACACCCCGCCTTTTGTCCTGGCAGCTTTTCCTTGCCTTGTCTTTCTCAGGTGGGACTACAGCAGGAACTACACTTTTCGGATAACCCACAGTGCTTTTTTTCCCCCTGCAGGTTATCCGAAAACAGGTGTTAAACTGCGTGTTTCATACATCCTGCTTTGAAGTGGATCCTCACAGCAAAGCATAGTGTGGGGCGGTTGCCGGTTTGGCTCTCAAGCTGCCCAGGGCTGGGAGGCTTCCTGCTGCTACTGACAACACCAGGGTTGAGGCAGTCTCAGCTGCTTGCCAGGTGGAGAAGAAAGAGCTACTGGAGTTGCCCCACAAGTGTTGCTAGTTAGCCAGCGCTGAGGTGGCCAGGAAACCTCCACAGCACTGGCTGGGCAGCAACACTGTTTTTGCCTCAGGGGTAAATCCAGCAGCTCCATGTTCCCTGCATGGTAAGCCCTGATCCCAATGGCGTCAGTAGTTAGGAAGCCTCTTGACACTACCTGGCTGGGAGGAAGTCCTGGTGCAATTTGAAAACCGCACTATGATCCCAATTGCTGCAAAGGGGCTTCAGTCCTTTTTTGTAAGTTTTGGTGAGGGGAAGATGTACTCTGCTTTGTTGTAACCATGAACGTCAGCTGCCTTGCTGAATATCTCTATGTCTAATCTTCTGAGGACCTTGTCAAGGTCTGTCCATTCCTGTTATCAAAACACTCTAGAAAGATAAAAAAATAAGTGCAGTAATGAGGCCACTTCACAACTCCACATGGGCTTTAAAAAGTTTGAAATAGAAGTGTAGAAGTAAAAGTAAAGGTAAAGGTTCCCCTTGACATTTTTCGTCCAGTCGTGTCCGACCCTAGGGGGCGGTGCTCATCCCGTTTTTCAAGCCGTAGAGCCAGTGCTTGTCCGAAGACAGTTTCCATTGTCACGTGGCCAGCGTGACTAAGGAATGCCATTTTACCTTCCCACCGAGGTGGTACCTATTTATCTACTCGCATTTGCATGCTTTCTAACTGCTAGGTTGGCAAGCAGCTGGGACAAAGCGGCGGGAGCTCACTCCATCACGCGGATTTGATCTTACGACTGCTGGTCTTCTGACCCTGCAGCATACAAAGACTTCTGCGATTTAGCCCGCAGCGCCACCATGTCCCTAGAAGCAAAAGGCTTTAACACTTTTTAAACTCTAAAGCTGCAAAATAAAAATAATAGACTGCAGAAAAGTGTAAACCCTTCCTCTTTCTTTCCCAGAAGTCATAATGATGAAGATGAGGATGAGGGTGGTCAATGTAGATGAGACCCAAAAATTTTGAGTTTGAACTCTGGCTGAGCATCAACTGTATCCTACCCTCACCTGCTCATGTGTTTGTTTGCATTTTGGATTACAGGTGCTGGTTTGGGAAGCGTGCAGGCATTTACACTGATTACATCTACCAAGGTCCCATGATTCTGGTGCTACTGGTAAGAACAGAAACCCCTCTCCTCCCACCTTCACCCTTTTTGGTAGGTGCTTTTGTAGCTTGAGTGATCAGAGACAAAGGACTCTGAATCTTGGAATCGCTGTGTAGAAGACGACATTTGGACAGATACAGATGATCAGTGGAGTTAGAAAATCTGCACCAGCTAAAATGCTGATTTCTGCTCAACTGTACAAAGTAGATTCCCAGTGTGGTGTACTGAACACAGTGATGGACTAGGGCTCTGGAGAACAGATTTCGAATCCTCACATGGCCATGAAAACTCACTGGGGGAGTGGAACTAATAAAACCAATACTGAAATATCTCCACCTTGAAAACCCTATTGGGGTTGCTGTAAGTCAGTTCCAGTTTGATGGCACAGAACAACAACATGCGAAGTGCAAGAACCTGGTCTCTTTGCCCGTCTAGTCACTTTGGATAAACTCCTTTGAAATGTCACCTTTATGCAAAATGATAGGAACAACTGATTGCATGTCTTCTACCAACCTTGACATGACATAAGCGACATGTGAAGTCTGTTTGTGAAGTCAGAAAAGTCTAATAACACTTTGTTTTACTTGCATACCTTTGAAAAAGAGGTCTGCATGTGATCGGCTCCAGAGGAGGGGGAAAACTGCTCAGCCCTTTCCTTGCAGACTGCCTGTCTGTCCACTAATAATTTCTCCTACAGAGATCTTCCCACTTATTGTGGGTGGGTGAGGGGGACAAAACATTAAATTAATACTATTTATTATTTATTAGTTAAATTTGTATACCACCCCCAATTAATGCCAAAGTACTAATCTGGGTGGTTTACAATAATAAACAAAACAAAACAGGATAAAACTCAACTATTTAAAATCGGTATAGCAATTAACCAATAAGGCCAGATAGCACTAAAGCAATAGAACAAAAAAGTGACGGCAAACAAGTTGGTGTGGAAAGCCTTTCTGAAAAGCCGTATCTTCACTTGCCTCCTGAGTGGCCACGGGGGGGGGGAGGTGATGCTTATCCGGAAACTGCTTCCACAAGGTTGGGGCTACCGTGAAGAAGGCCCTACTTCTACTAGATTACTTATGGGGCCTCCCTTGGGGTGGCCACCTGAAGGAGCTTTGCCTGTGATGATATAATGGGTAGGGCAGATGACATTGGGGAAAGACACTTCAGCAAGTAACGTGGGCCCAGACTATGGAGAAAGAGCTGGGTACAGAAGAACACCCAAATTATATGAACTTGGTCCCTAAATGGGGGGGGGGACAATGCCATCCAGCCTAGGGATTATTCCCCTGTGCTTTTTTACAGAAACAGAATCTCTGTATTGTTCAGGTTCAGTTTGAGCCTGTTCACCCTGGACTGTTACAGTAATGAAGGCAAGCAGTCCTGAAGCGCCCAGCCAGCATCCACTGCTGAGGTGTTAACAAAGAGATAGCATCTTTTCTCTTGTAGAGAGAAAGTTAGGGGATTGGGCAGTTATAAAGGGTATTGGTGTAAAAGGATGAACATACACTTCCTCCACATCATATGCCCCATCTTAATTCAGTTGCATTAAAATAAATGTTTTAAGGTCTCCTGCATTACATGGAGTTTAGCCCTTGCTATGCCACCCATTTTTCTTTTCCACTCTGCTGTTCCCACACTTCCTCTCTCTCTGTCTCCAGCATTGCCACTACAACACCATATCAATTGAACACAGCACAATTCACACACCACCTCTGGACCCAGCAGGCTTGCTAATAATGTTCTTTGATGAGGACGATAGCAGCTGCCTTATTAGCGTTACCCGTCTCTACAGCCTTGTCCAATGCAGAATCCTGGGGAGAAAGTGAGAAGTAATTGTACCTTTAGAGGCCTTGCTACACGGACTCGCGATAATGCTGCCATTTTTTACCCTTAATTATTGCACTTGGAGTGAGGATTTCATAATAGGTGGAGGCCAGAGGGTGAACAAAGGCAGGGAGGCCCAGGAATGCTTAGTTATATGAGCACTGAAACCAAAGCAGGCCAAAGATGGGAAATGTTGCTTTTATTTCTTTATTTATTTCTGCACTACAGCACTCTGAATGTTGCGGAGTTGTGAATGTCTGGTAAAATTCCATTTGCCTATGCAGCAGAAATACAAAAATTCCCAGAGGAGAATAGCTTCAAGTTCCTCAGATAGTTCACCCCTTTTATTGTTAATTGGTACATAGAGAGAGGGGAAAGAGACACTCAGCAGAAAGGTAGGACTTTTTTTAAAATTCAGAGGCCACAGGCAATGATTGATTAGTGCTGGATGGACTGATGGTCAGTCCAGAACAGAAAAGTTCCTCCCAGTCACTCAAACCACAGGCAGCATGAGAAGTTACAAATAAAACTCCAGTACATAATCACCCAGATCGTATGTCCACTTTCCAAAAGAACATTTCGGATCTCCGAAGCGGCTCATCTATGGGACAAGTTCTAGTATGAAGCAAATTGGGTCCTATATTGACTAGGGATGATAGGGAGCCATAGTCAAACAAAGCTAGAGGTTGTGGAAGGCCATTGTAGAGTGTCTCTTTATCTAGTCAAAAGAAATAAATAGTTTCCTTACTACTTTAGGGCCCCAGATACTCTCCTAGCATTTGTTGTTGTTATACTGGAAGAGAAAAGGGTATAGAGTTAGAAGAACAGCCTAGTTACTATATTGGACACTTTTGACAACTTTACTTATTATCTTATTTGTCCCATATGCGTCCTGTGCTTCTTGCAGTAAGGAGTAAGCCCAAGGCTATGTATATGGCTCTGTACTTTATCTTCACAACAGCCCTGTGAAGTAGATCAGGCTGAGAGAGCACAACAGGCCCAAGGTCACTCAATGCTTAGTGGGGATTAGAATCAGTTCCAATTAAACCGTTAACACTGAAACCGTCTATTCCCCACAGTACATTGACTCCCTCTTAGATCTTGGAAAGTACAGTATTTGTTTTTTTATTTATAAAGTTTATATCCTGTCTTTCCACTAAGACTGTGCCATGCAAGGTGGCTATCAATAATACAATAAATTATAGCTAAAGCCTTATTTTAAAAATCAAAACATAAAAGCTATCCATTTAAAAACAGAATACCAGGACAAACAAGTTCGCTTAAAAGCCAAACATTGAATACTTTAACATATTTTTGCCTACCAGTGGAAGGTGAATAGATATATAGCTAGCCTATCCCTTTCACATTTAGGTTTTACTCATCTCTGTGTGCTTTGTGATGTTAATCTCCCTTCCAAAAGGTATGTTTAAAGCTTCCTCACTCAGGTAGTAGCCTATTTGAGGTGCTGGACTCAAACTATCCCCTCTGTTCTTCCCATGCAGCCAAAAACAAAGAGTAAATTTTACTATGTTTTTATGATCAAGCCAAAAATCATAGGCTGAAATCCTGTTAGCATCAGTTTATGCCACACAAGCCAGATGATGTCAGTAACACGGTCTTACTGCCATATAGGTATGCTGGCAGCAATCCAGCAGTGATTTCCCAGTATCAAGGCGTCCCTTTAAAGGCTGGTTCTGAGACTTTCAAAAGCTTTCCAGGGGCAAAAGGCATCCTTGGGGGCCCCTGAAACCTGAAGGGGGAGGATAGGAAGTTTTTTATTTGAGTAAAGATACCTGACACCAGATCATGACACCATCTGGCTTGTTGGTAAAATTTATACCAACAGGATTTCAGAGTTAAAAATAAAATCTACTTGGTTTGCAAAGTTACCTTTTTTTAAAAACCCCAACTTTGTTTAGCAAGTGAATTGGAGTTTAGTTTCAGCTATGGTTTTAGTTCACAGGTAACAGCAAGCCAGGAACTGAGCAAAGTGAAACTGATTCCTGGTTTATTCACCCTCTTTGCTGGGCAGGAGGAGAAGAGATATGGGGAAGCTGGGAAGCCTGAAATTTCTCTTAGTCTCCTTTTTGCTCATGTACATAGTACTAAATTATAGTTTAGAAGCACTGGAAATATTAGGGTGTTTTTTTTTAACTGTAATACCCAGAATCATTCATCCATCTTTTACTTATTTTTCTCATCTGAGGCCACCATTTATGCCTTTCTTGATTCCAGCACTCATCCACTTGTCTCATGAGATGGTCTGTCGATCTCCACTTTAATGATACTATTTGTTCTTCTACTTCTATTATTATTGTCTTTTGATTTCTTACTTTATCTGTTAGTCTGATAATTAGCATCAGTCTTTTCATTGTTCTTTGTGTTTTTGTAAGCTTTTCCATTTTAGATTTTCTTAGAATACACAACTATGCAACATAGGTCAGTACTGGCAACCCACAATGATTATAAATGAATTGTCTTTTTTTAAAGAAGGTTGCTTTGTTTGCCAAAGGCTGACCTGGCAAGCCTTATTAGTCTCTGATTAGAGTTCCTATTCTTTATTACTTTCTCCAGATCTATATGTGAAGTTTCTAGTCCAAAAAAAATCTAACACTTCCAAGCTCTAGATTTAGTACAGAATTAGGGAGCCTTTGGTTTACCAGGTATTTTAGACTTTCACTCCCAAAAGGACCAGCCTGCCTGTCCAATGGCCAGGAATTCTGGCAATTTCAGTTCAAGCCCTAAATCCAACATAACACTACTAATAATCATGTGCCATCACATCAGTTCTGACTTGGAGTGAGCCTTTTCAGGGTTTAACATTCCCTTCTTCTTCTGGGGGTATTCTGGGATTGTGCAGGTTGTCCAAGGTCACACAGGCTGGCTCTCCTTTCTGGAGGTACAGTGGGGAATTGAACTCCCAACCTCGGGCTCCATAGTCAGCTACCTAACCCACTGAGCTATTCAGCCAGTTCAGCATAACACTAAGGAGGATGAGAATTCCCACTTGTGCAGTTGCTTCAGTTACACCACTGTGCGAACAGTTCTACAAGCAGATGTACAAGAATTGTGCAACATTCATGTGACCCCCCCCCCATACACAACCCATCTGCCCTCAAGAGACAGTGTAGATCCAGGGTTTCAAAGTGTTTATGTCATTTTCACTAGTTTAGTAGTGT